CTGCCCAGGTTGGCTTTGAGCCACGATCCTCAGATCTCAGCCTCCTGAGTAGCTAGGATTACAGGTGTAAGCCACTGGTGACTGGCTATCCTTGAGACTCTTATCTCCAGTTATCCACCAGAAACCTGGAAGTGGCACTGTGGCTCAAGCAGTGGAGTGCTAGCCTTGAGCTGAAGAGCTGAGGGACAGCTTCCAGGCCCAGAGTTCAAGCCCCATGACTGAAAAAACAAAATTATCCCACCAATATTTTGTTGTGATAGGTCATTTAATCTCTTCCATGAGGGGTCTTTGAGTGGAATGCTTTTAATTACAGAAGCTTTAAGCCAGCTATTAGGGCTCATGCCTGAATCCCAGCCATTGAGGAAGTGGAGATGGGAAGACTACCAAAGGGCGATGGTGGCTCAGCTGGTAGAGTGGTGGCCTAGCAAGTGCTATGCCCTAAATTCAAACTCCAGGACCACAAAGCAATAACATAAAAGCAGAAGCTTTCAAGACTCAGCAAGGTTCAGGCCACACCTAGCAATGGACTTACTATTATTCACTGTGAATTTTGTGGTGATATTGTAGTTTGAACTCTTTGCCTTCTGATTGCTGGGCAGGCATTCTGCCACTTCAGTCCTCAAGCCCTTTTTGCCTTAGTTATTTTTCTGATAGGATCCCATAGTATTGTCCAGAGTTGGCTTGGGCCATGATCTTTATACCTATGCCCCCCATCTAGTTGGGATAACTGTTACACATCACTATATCCAGCTTTTTTGTTAGGATGGAGTCTTGCCAGTTTTTTCTGAGGCTAATCTGAAATCCAGTTCTCCTCATGTCTACCACCTATGTATCTGGGATTACAGGTGAGAACCACTGTGTCTGGCCTTAGAAGTATGTCCAGTTGAGGCATATCTTCACAATTTCAGTGCTAGCTGACTTAACAGGAAAAACTGCAAGTCATTCCCTTAGTATTTAATTAATTCTTGTTTTGCTTGATGTTTGGTTAAACATCTAGTTGATGTTTAAACACTCTTTTTAATAAGTAGTCTGAGAATTCTTAACTCTGTCTTAAAGTCTTAATGTTCTCAGAATGCCTCACTGGATTAAACAACTCTGAACAACAAGATTTGCAATGGTTGTGGTTAGGAACTGACAAGAGTTCATTACAATATGATACAACTGACAACATTTGGGGTTTGTACTCAGGACCTAGGGTCTGTTTCTGAGTGTTTTGTGCTCAAGCCTAGCCCTTGAGCCACAGCTCCATTTCTGATCTTCTGGTAGTTACTTGCAGATAAGAGTCTTACAAGCTGCCTTTGAACTGTGGTCCTCAGATGTCAGCCTCCTGAGTAGCTAGGATTGTACACATGAGCCACCAGTGCCTGGCCATTTGTTGTTTTTGTTGTATACAACATATTTTAGAAGAGAGGCATTACTATGATTTTGATACTGGCTCAGACTCCTGAGTTCAACTGTTCCTCCTTCCTCAGGCTTGGCCACTGTGGCAAGTTCTTGTATATATCAATGTAAAAAGAACTGGAGACTGTGGATGTGGAATCAAAGGTTAAATACCTGAGTAGCAAGCATGAGGCTCTAAGTTCAAACCCTAATACCACAAAAACAATGAGGTGTGGAACTAGGGCTGCTAGATTATCATGAATTTCATATAATTTCTGAAATGTGTATTATTAACACTCATATAAACATAAGTCAAAGAAATTTTAATATGACTTATTATTTGACAGTGTTCCTCATAGTAAACCCAATATCTCTTCTTATAATGAGCTATCCCAAGGGCCTACCTGAAAAATTCCAAAACGAATTCATGGGCTAGTAAAAGACTTAATTTGATTTTGGTAATTCATCAAAAATGTCAAAGATTGAAAACACTTTAGTACAACATCAGACATATAGTTAAACAACAATATTTACTTACCCAAAGTGATATCGAAGGCAAATATAGATATTTATGTAATTGTTGAATAAAACCAGGCATCTTTGTATGTTATAACTGTTCTTCTCAAGAGTACATCTTACATCCCTTGAACAGGAGATTCTCCCCTCTCATTTCCAATAATTTTAGTTTCATCTATTAATTAGAATTTTTAACCTTTGATGGTCTTAATTTCCAGTGAACAGCAGGAAGGAAACTATTGTGAAGGTGATTGTCTGGATCCAATTGAACAAAATTTCCTGCCCAGCTGGTTAAAAACTTTGACTAACATTCATGAAATAGAAAACTTTTGAAGACTTTCTCCATCTGCCCTTTGTAAGGAATCTCATAAAGGGGCAGTCTCTCATTCATTTACCTCTTTGCATGCATTTGGGTATGATTGCAGACTGCATCTCATGGACTTTGTGGTATTTGGGTCCTTGCCTGTTACTTTACAATGTCATCTAGGGGAAACCTTTAACACCATAACCGTAACCAGTATAGGTCTAACGTGTTGTAGTCAGGTAGCCAACATTTTTGTTCCAATTGTTCCCCCCTGTGGTTCTAGACCCATCATTGTTTTGTGACTAAAGTTAAGAAATGTCCCTGAAAGTGAACGCCTCAGATTTGGAAAAACCCATTTTCAAATGCCACCTGCTTCCCTGTGGCCACTGCATACATACAATCCAGTTAATTACTAGATCTAATGTGATCTAGCCTTGTTTTTTTAAAAAAAGCTGAAATGAAGTTAGAGAACTTAAAACACAGATTCACAGAGCTCAAACCAAAGGGATATCCTGGCCATGCCCCAGTAGTTGTGTGTCACCAGTGGGCACAAAGTGCCCTGGTACACACTTGATACATCCATGGGCCTGGAGGGCTACTTTAGATCCCATATCTGATGTGTATCTCTAAAAGGAAAATTTCAGACAATTAAATTCAGTCAATTTATGGGAACAAAGACTCAATTAATACATTGACCAGTACCTGAGCCAGGAAAGATGGAGATAAGTCTTCTCAGGAAGGTGAAACAGGCAAGATTTATAGGCAGAGACAAGAAGTGACTTCTAGAAATGTCAGAACAGGTCAGCTCTTGGCATTTGTTTGTTTAGACGTGTCTCAACAGCCTGTCACTGACTGAACCTGACCTGATTACCTCTAATTGTTATGACTGGCCATGGCTTCCATATTTGTGTTTTTAAACTTCTTAAAATTAATCTCTAGGTAGTTTTTCAAAGGGGTTTTTAATTCAATATGTCAGTGTATAAATATAATGCATTTTGAAAGGATTATTTGTTACAAGAAGATATTCATTTAGGTTGTAACTTGTCAGTGTTATAGTTTGGAACATATGTAGACAGTTTAGGCCAAGTTGAATTTATCAGAATACCTTATCATTTAGTAAAATTTTGTTAAAGTCATTCTATACATGTTCATAAATACCAACATGCTTGTTTCTTTCTTAGAAACTAAGGAAGGCTGATATACTTTGCACCTGATAACTTTGAGGTCTCTTTGAAGAAGTTTACATGTAGGAATATTTAAATGGTTGATATCCTGCAAAATGTTATTTGTATTTTAGAGGAAGGACTCTCTCTATATTTGTCTGTTTTGTTGGCAGTACTGATTGAACTTAAGATTCTTGTGCTTGCTAAGCAGGTACTCTGCTACTTGAGCCACAGCTCCACCCCTTTCTGTTTTAAATGTCTTGCCATTTTGCCTAGAGCCAGCCTGAACTGTGATCCCCTTACTCGTGGCCTTACACATGGTGGGGACAAAAGATGTAAACCAAGATGCCTGGAGTAGTTGAGATGGTCTTGATAACCTCTTGCCAGGCTTGCCTAGTTGATGCCTCATGAACAGCTGAGATTCCACCCATGACCCTGCACTTGCCATTATCATTGTATTAAAATCATGAAAATGATGATGTTTTAGTAATTTAAAATTTTAACATTTGAATTCTCCTATTAGTACATACAGGATATTTGAGAATATTACTGTCACTTGGCTAGTGTATTTGAGTATATATGTAATTGGATGCGGGGGACTAGGAATGTGGCTTAGTGACAGAGTGCTTGCCTAGCATGCATGAAACCCTGGTTAAATTACTCAGTACTAAATAAACAGAAAGAAGCCAGAAGTGGTTCTGTGGCTCAAGTGGTAAAGTCTTGAGCAAAAGAAGTTCAGGGACAGTACCCAGGCCCTGAGTTCAAATCCCAGGATTGGCCAAAAAAAAAAAAAAATAGGGACAAGAGTGCTCAGACCCCCTTTCCCAAAAGAATAATGATAATGTTACATTCTATAAACGTTCAGTCAGAATAGTGTTTTTAAGCTATTGTTCACAAAGAAAGAGCATTACAATAAAAAGCCAAAGGAATGAAATACGTATTTTTTTAATTGAATGTTGTAGATAGAAGAAAAACCATCGGAGTATATACCTCTAGTAATAGAAGTATTATCATAGATTTAATTTTTTATTTTATTTTTTAAATTGTTATTATAAAGGTGATGTACAAAGGGGTTACAGTTATGTAAGCCAGGTAAATAAAACATTTCTTCTTTTTGAACAATTTCATTCCTTCCTTGGCTTTGTTCCAGTCCATATATTATATGGCCTCACAGCTCTGTGTGTGTGTGTGTGAGAGAGAGAGAGAGAGAGTGTTTTGTATATATTTTTATTGTAAACATACTGTACAGAGGAGTTACATGAGTAAGGTAATGAGTGCATTTCCTATAGAGCATTGTTGTTTCCTCCTTTTTCCCCCTAGCATCCCTTTGCTTCCCACCTTCCCAACTCCTCCTTCCCCCCCACCAAGTTGTAAAGTTTTTTTTCAACATAGTGTCTTTTATATCTCATTGTTACAATGGGTCATCCTTTATCCTTATTACAGCATGTTGTTATTTCTCTTCCCTTCCCTAAATTAGAAAAATGTATATACAAGATGCAGGGCTCCGGAATCAAACACAGTGAAAATGGGTTATGCCATGGGGAGAGGTCTCACAGTTTTTATAGTAGGCATAGATACTACTACTTAGATGTTATGTTAATGATTGTTAATAAAAAGCTTCATCTTTTTAATTTTAGGGAATGAGTATTGCTATACTGGGACCCACATTTCAAGATCTGGCCACTAATGTGAACCGCAATATCAGCAGCCTTTCGCTAATATTTGTTGGCCGGGCCTCTGGATTTTTGTGTGGCTCCATGATTGGAGGAATTCTTTTTGACTTTGTGAACCATGTTTTAATTTTGGGTGAGTAAATACAGATTTTCACAACGTGGTGGCATTTAATGAGTTCACAACCTAGCTCTCACCGGCTCTTCCTGCGCAATAAGATGGTGGTGTTCCAGGTCACTACCGTGAACCACAACATCAGCAGCCTTTCTGAAATATTTGTGGGTCATGCTTTAGGATGTTTGTGTGGCTCTGTGATCAGAGGATTTCTTTTGCAGTGTATGAATCAGTTTTTACTTTGGGGTAAGGAAACAATGATCTTTGCTTGTTTGTGCCTGTCACTGAATTTACAACTGGGTTCCAAATACGAAAATTTGACAACTGGGATGAGAGGTGTTTCAGGGTCCTCCACAGAGGGTAGGTCTCCATAGGTCTCACCTTGGCAGCCACAGGGCATCTGGGCTGGGCCACCCGGAGCCTTGATTAGCCTTCAGGTGTGCTGATGGCAGTCCTGAGCCTCCCGACCTCCACTGGAACTGAGGCAGCAGTTCATGTCACACACTTGTCCCAAAGCTCTGCCCATCAGCTAGGGCAGGTCTCTAGGTGTGTCTGGGGCCAGATGGGCTTTGGAAACGTGGCCAGACTCTCTGGACTCTGGGTTGACAGTGCGGGGCAGGGGATGGTGATGTACTGACACAGGCTGCACATTTGTCCTCCTGTTAGTGATGAGACTGGTCCCTGTGCACAGTCTAGAGGATTTTGACATGCTGGCAGTGATTTTAATATGCTGTGGTTTGAATAGGGTGACAGGTTTCAAGAAAATTTAATACGATGAAAAAGAGAATGGAGAATAAGTAATCACCAATGAATAACTAATGACTTCCAAGTCATTAAAAGCATGAAGTTCTTTTATTCCCCTCCATATTCCCCAAACTGTTCAGTTTAGTAAAGTTTAATGACAGGATACCATAATGATCGAATACTATTTTTGCCATTTCACATTGTTAAGTCATACTAAAAGTTCCTCAGTTTCTCTGCTTCTTTTTTTTTTTTTTTGCCCATCCTAGGTCTTGAACTCAGGACCTGGGCATTGGCCTCTTAGTGCTCCAGGCTAGCACTCTACCACTTGAACCACAGTTCCACTTCTGCCTTAGTTTCTTAAATGTGAAATATTTAAGTAAATATTTAGACTTATAGACAGGCCCAAATTATAGAACTTTCCTTCATAGTAAATTTGAGTATTAGCAAGACTAGCATACTGTTCAGATTATATTAATAGAATCTGTATAATCGTAAACCTTATAAAATATTTAGATAAAATTATGACTAGTAGAAGTAGCACCTCTCATTTGCTAATGATTATCCAGTTTTTTTTCAAAAAAAATTTTTTTTTGGAGGGGCCATTCATGGGGCCTGAACTCTGGGCCTGGGTGATGTGTCTCAGCTCTTCAGCTCAAGGCTAGGGCTCTACCACTTGAGCCACAGGCCACTTCTGGCTTTTTCTGCTTATGTGGTGCTGAGGAATTGAACCCAAACCTCATGCATAAAGGCAACCACTCTACCAGTGAGCCACTTTCCCAACCCGATTGTCTAGGTTTATTTCATTATATCTTTTTGGTGCATCTTTTTAATGATGATATCTTGACCTATGACCCTAGTGAATATTGATCTTTCCTTCTTTCTCTCTGGGTTCTTTTGTTCTTTCTTTCCTTCCTTCCTTCCTTCCTTCCTTCCTTCCTTCCTTCCTTCCTTCCTTCCTTCCTTCCTTCCTTCCTTCCTTCCTTCCTTCCTTTCTTTCTTTCTTTCTTTCTTTCTTTCTTTCTTTCTATCTCTCCCCTCCTTCCCTTCCTTGTTTCCTGCCTCTCTTCCTTCCTTCCTTCCTTCCTTGTTTCATTTTGTTATGGACAGGGTCTCACTAAGCAGCCCAGGGTGCACTGGAAAATACAGTTCTTCAGCCTCAACCTTAGAAGTAGAATTAAAAGTGTGAGATACTATGTCTGGCTCATACTTTTGGGTGTGTGTGTGTTGGGGTGTGTTACTAGAATTTGTTCTCAGGTGCTTGTGTTTGCTAGGCATATGCTTTACTGCTAAACCATACCTCTAGTCCTTTTTAAAATATTATACTTATTATTGAGATAGGGTCTTGATTCTTTATATTAATGTTTTTATTGTGAAAATACTGTATAGAGGGGTTACAGTTACATGAGCAAGGTAATGAGTACATTTCTTATGAAGCATTGTTGCCTCTTCCTTTGTTTTTCCCCTACCATCCCTTCCCTCCCACCTCCACAACTACACCCCCCCCCCCGCCCCCTGCCCAAATTGTATAGTTCGTTTTTCAACATAGTGTCTTGTACATCCCATTGTTACAATGGGTCAACCGGTATCTCTATTTAAACATTTTGTTTTTTCCTTTCCCTCCCCAAATTAGACCAACATCAAATACAGGTGGAAACAGGGGTTATACCGTGGGGGAGGAACATACAAAGCACACAAAAAAATCACATGGTAGGGTCTTGATTTTTTATTTATTTATTTTTCGTTATAAAAATACCATATAGAGGTGTTAAGGGTCTTGAATCTTATGTAGATTTCCCACAGCAGCTTGGATGACAGGCTTGTACAATCCCACCCAGATTCTTCTGCTGAGGTAGAGTCCCATGGACTTGTCTGCCTGGGCTGGCTTGGTCTGAGATCTTATTTTCCCCTGTAGTTAAGATGACAGTCATTGGCCACCATACCCAACTATTGCTTTCTTTCTTTTTGTATGGTATTGGGATTTAAACCTGGGGCCTTGCGCTTGCTAGACTAGCACTCTACCACCTGACTCATGCCCTACATTTTTTGGCTGATTGTTTTAGGGATTTAGTCTAGTGAACTTTTCTGCCTGTGCCTCAAGCTATGATCATCTTAGATCTCAGCCTCCTGAGTAGCTAGAAATAAGCATAAGCCACTGGCAGTCTGCACCAGCTCCAGCTCTTGGTTTCTAAGGGATTTTGTGCCCAGGATGGCTACAAACCTCAATCCTCCCAGATTCAGCCTGTCAAGTCACTAGGTTTACTGGGTGGAGGGGGTGGGGTCGGGAAGGGGAGGAGCCATCTGCACACCATACGAGTTGACTTTCTTACTTTTCCTAGGGGTGTCAATGCTGGCTACCACTGTTGGTCTTTATCTTATCCCTTTTTGTAAGAACGCAGCATTGCTGATTGTCGTGATGGCTCTCTTTGGGGCTGCGGTTGGCACTATTGATACAGGTCAGTGGGACCTTTGTTCTATCTAAGAGTGGGTGCTTTCTGTTAGAAACGTTGAGCTGATGATGCTAAACTTTGCCTTGTAATAATTAGAAACAACAGAAATTTACTCAGGTGATAATTAAACCTAGATGGTTAATTATCTACTAGGCTAAAACTTTGTAACCATTATTTGGCTGTGAAAGCACAGACAGAAGCAGACATATTATTATCACACATAATGTACAGAGTATTTACACAATATACATTATAAAAATATAAAATGTACAAAGGCATTTCGATTTAACATGTCAATCTATGTGTATAATGCTTTTGTGTGTGTGTGTGTATGTGTGTGTGTGTGTGTGTGTGTGTGTGTGTGTGTGTGTGTGTGCATGCATGTGTGGATAGGTGAAGGTCCTGGGGCTTGAACACATGGCTTGGTATGGTCCCTGAGCTTTTTGCTCAAGGTGAGCACTCTACCACCTGAGCCACAGCTCCACTTCCACTAATTAATTGGAGATAAGAGTCTCAGGCTGGCTTTGACCAACAATCTTCACATCTCAGGATCCTGAGTAGCTAGGATATCATGAGAATCAAGGATTAAAGGCATGAGCTACCTACACCCAGCTTAGCACAGTGTATCTTGATGAATGTCACCCCTTCCACATGCTCCTCCCTAGTTCCCAGGCCCTCAAGATACCTGGTTCTGTTTTCTCATATAACTGCATTCACCCACTTTTCCTCTCTCTATTCCAGACACACAATCTAAAATTGATCTTCTCTCCCAAGCTTAGAGAAATCCATGTAATTCAGTACTTCCCCATGTTTCTTTGCTGTTATTTTCTCTCTCTAAAGTTTCTGGTCTTGTACAACAGATGTTCTCCATGTGCCATCATGTCCTTGAAAACCTGCTGAATAACACATGTGATGTTGTTTAGCATTATTGATTACCATTGCTTATGCCTTCCTTTCCCATGCTAAAGTTACTTGAAGCCAGGTGCTGGTGGCTCCTGCCTTTAATCCTTGATTCTCATGAGGCTGAGATCTAAAAGATCCTCCTTTGAAGCCAACCTGGGCAGAAAAAGGACAACAAGTATAAAGCAAGGCTGAGAGTATGGCTCAAGTGGAAGACTGCCAGCCAAGCAAACAGAGCAAGCAAGTCAGACCGTGAATCCAAACCCCAGTCCTGCCAAACAAACAATTAAATATAATGTAAATTCTCCAGGCTTAATTTGTGTATAAAATTTCAGTGATGGAATTATGTGCTTATCTGCAAATATCTGATTACAAAGCAGACTGCAAAGCCTTGATGCTCTTGCATTTCAGCTTGCACATGCTCAGAGTAGGTGCAGATCTTGTTTTCTGTAATAAGAACACAGGGATCCTGGTGGGTACAGGTCCTGAATGGGCCTCTTGCATCTATTTAACACATCAGTACATTTTCTTCAATTGGAACTGACTACCAATTTCAAGTATGTAATGGTCTAGTAATTTGGCCACTTGATAAAATTTTTACCTAGTTTACATATATACTTAAATACAGATACCAAATTTCTCTGCAGTGTGGAATTAGCAAGTTTTGTAATAAGCCTTTGGTCTGGCACTAGGATGTAAACGGTGACCATGGATGAATAAGAGATGTTAGGACACATTGTTCTCTGCTCCTGGGTCTCACAGAGTTGATACAGGGCCAATGGGTGATGACTAAGGACTGAACGGAGCTACTGATACGAATGATCTCTGTAACAATAATGAACTGTGTTTTTTTCCCTGTCTTTCATCGGTAGGTGCGAATGTCGTCATCTTGGCTCTTTGGGGTGACAAGAGCCCCCCCCACATGCAGGCCTTACACTTCAGTTTTGCCCTGGGTGCCTTCCTGGCTCCCCTGCTGGCTAAACTGGCACTGGACCCCACAGTGTCTGCTGACAACCACACAGAGCCCGACTTTCTCCCTGCAGCCCTCAATGCCTCTTCTGAAGCTGCCTCAGTCCCTCTACTCGCAGCTCCCCATGACATGAACTTACTGTGGGCTTATGCTTCCATAGGCACTTACATTCTCGTAGTTTCTCTCCTTTTCTTTGCTCTGTTCTGCATGAAAAGCTCAAGGCAGGGAAAATCAACGGCCTCTGCTCAGCAATCTCGAAGAGCTCAATACCACAAGGCCCTTCTCTGTCTGCTTTTTCTGTTCTTCTTCTTCTATGTAGGGGCTGAGGTGACATATGGCTCTTACATTTTCTCCTTTGCCACCACCCATGTTGGCATGGATGAGAGAGAAGCAGCTGGCTTGAACTCCATCTTCTGGGGGACCTTCGCAGCCTGCAGGGGCCTGGCAATCTTCTTTGCCGCGTGTTTACGTCCTGCCACCATGATTGTGTTGAGCAACATTGGCAGCCTGGTCTCCTGTTTGTTTCTGGTGCTTTTTGACAGGAGCCCCCTTTGTCTCTGGATAGCAACCTCCGTGTATGGGGCCTCGATGGCCACCACATTTCCCAGTGGTGTTTCTTGGATTGAACAGTACACCACCATCAGTGGCAAATCTGCTGCATTTTTTGTGATTGGTGCTTCTTTGGGAGACATGGCTATTCCTGCAGTAATTGGAATTTTTCAGGGGCAATACCCAGATTTACCAGTACTCCTGTACACGTGTTTGGGGTCAGCAATCTTCACGGCTATTTTGTTTCCTGTAATGTATAAATTAGCCACCATTCCGCTGGGTCACCAGCGAAAAGGACACAGAAAGAGTGAGGGGAAGAAAGCTCAAATCTTGAGTTCTAGGCTGTGAAGAAGAGAATGGAGGAGAATGATGCAAAAAATGTTTTGAAGTGGTTGAGATGAATAATTCAACGGGATGCTTTGTAATGAAAACCTTTAATAAAAAATCTGTTGGATCCCATAGCCAGACTTTCCAACTAATTGCTGTCCAATGCATTGCTATTTAAATACTGCTCAGTTAATATCTGTGAATCCCTAAAGAAGCCCCTTGCCAATAGCCAGGACAAAAGGAACTGATGTGTAGAGCGGGCAGAATGCTTAGTGAATTCCTTGACTAATTGCCACTCCTGAACAAATCAATGAGAATTTAGAAGATTTTCAGCATGCTTTCACATTTCAATTCTAGATCCATTTACATTAAATGATAAAAAGTTTTGAAGTGTTCAATAATTCTGAGTCTTTCATAACTACCAGTTTCGCTAAAGATCATCTTAAGAGATTTGTGTTGGGCAAGAAGGTAAGTAGGTGATATTTATGATCTCTACTATTTAGAATCTGCTAAACAGTCATGAATTTTTGAGAAGTTGGGTAGTATTCTAATAGAGTAAAACCAAGCAAAACCCTCTAAACAAACAACCCTACACATGTAGAATGTATTAGCTAAGCCATAGACATCAACATTCTCGCTGGGAAATTGGACAGAGTCATTTCACTAAAGAGCATCCTTGGTATGGAGAGATAATTTTATTATCTGTTATTTTAGAGGAAGAATGATTATGACTGACCTGACTTCTATGAAGGAAACAGCAAGGTCAGGACACCTAGCTTCAAGAATGACTTTGTGTTCTGAGGCATTTCATGTAGGCCTTTCCTGTGTCCTGATCTGTGAGTCTTGTTATTAAAATGAGATAATTTCCAAATCAGAAGATCTTTTCATTTCTAAAGTTAGTGCCAAGTATTTCTCAGAGATTAATATAAATTTCAACCCATCTTTCATTTTGAATGAGAAGTAAAATGAGAGTAATAAATAGCTTTAAAATGTGTTACTAAGTTTGGTGCCAGTGTCTGGCCCATGCCTATATTCCTTGCTATTCAGGAGGCTGAGATTTGAGGATCACAGTTTGAAGCTAGTCTGGGCAATAAAGTCCATGTGACTCTTACCTCCAATTAATCACCAAAAATCCAGAAGTGGGGCTTTTACTCAAGGGGTAGAAAGTGCTATTCTTGAGCAAAAAAGCTCTGGGATATTGCCCAGGCCCTGAATTCAAGCCCTAGCCCTGACACACTAAATAAATAAAATGATTGTGCTACTGTCCCAACTACACAGAAGACGGAGATTGCAGTTTGAGACCTCCTGAGCAAAGTACTTAGACCTTGTCTCAAAACATAAGCAGAACCCAGGCACTGGTGGATCATACCTGTAATCCTACCTACTCAGGAGGCTGAGATCTGAGGATCACGGTTCAAAGCCAGCCTGAGCAAGAAAGTCTGTGAAACTCTTATGTCTAATAAACCACAAAAAAATCTGGAAATGGCGCTGTAGCTCAAGAGCGCTAGCCTTGAGCTGTAGGGCTGAGGGACAGTGCTCAGGCCCAGAGTTCAAGCTCACGCCTGACAATACAAACAGAACAGAAAAAAAAAAGTTGTTTCCAGTATTTCATGCTTGTGATCCCAGCTATTTGGAAGCCACAGGAAGGAAGATTGTAGTCTGAAGCTGGCTCCCAGGAAAAACAGTATTGCTTTATCTGAAGAAGGAAGAATACAACTGAAGCTAAAGGGGTTGGAGATATCACTTATAGTGGTAGAGGTATCGCTTATAGTGGTAGAAAACTTGCTTAGCAAGTACAAGCTCCTGAGTTCAAGCCTCCATACAAAAAGAAAAGTATGTGCCAGTAATTACATTTGCAAATTTAAATATACTTAATGTTTATTAGTTTATAGAGAATACTGAATTTTGAGATAAGAGACTCACAGATGTGTCTGCCTGGGCTGTCTTCAAACTTCGATTCTCATATGTCAGCATCCTGAATAGCTAAGATTACACGGGTGAGCACCCACTGGCTTTGAATGGTGATGACATCCTGCAATGATGGGTCAGATGATGTTAATTAAATTAGTTAATTTAATTAAAGAGGCACCATCTTCCAAGGGGTTGGAATAGATGGCCCAGCCATCATCCAAGGCTCCTACTCCCTAAGTGTGAAATACCTGGGACCCCAAAGTAGAGGTGAGAAGGTGGCTTGGTGGCCTAGAAGTCAGGGATGGGAAAGAACTTCCTATGAAAATAGACAAACTGATGCGTCCATCCTTGGATAAATACGTAGAAGTGATGACAGATTTTGTTCACTTCTTCCCAAGTTTTGCACTGTATTACATTTAATTTCTGATTGCAGTATAGTTGCTTTTTCTCATGCATGAACATAAATTGCCTTTTGAAAACAAGTTGCTTTGTTTTGTCTTCAGTGAAACACAGAACCTTTATTGACCCCTGACCTTCTATATTCCACTACAACATTGTTTAGGTTAACAATGAGCAACTTTGTAGAAGGCTGATGAAGATATTACAAGCCTCTTGCTCTTTTTGGAAATCTACGATGGATTTCACAATCTAAAATATAAATTGCTATTGTGCTAGTCACTTCCTGCTTGCATCAATAGTAACTAAGATAATCCACTTATAAAGAAAATGTTTTTGTTTCTACTCCTAGTTTTAGAGGTTCTAGCCCTGATTGCTTAGCTCTGTTGTTTTTAGACCTGTAGCAAGGCAGCAACTCATGACAGGAGCATCTGGCATTGTAAAACTTCTCACCTCATGCCCAGAGCCAAAGAGAATGAGAAGGGGAACAGGGCACCAAAATCACTTTAAAGAGCAAACCACTAGTGACCTAATCATCTCCCTTGAAGTCCCACCTCTTTATGACTCCTCCACTTGTAGGAACCAAGCCTTAACATATGAGCCTTTGGGAGACATTCAAAACCCCAACCATGATATAATGTCTGGTCCTGAAGAGCTCATTTCCATTTCTCTTTCTTTGAGCACTGCTTGAGCATCCAAAATCCATTATTTCAGTGTAATCTCCATGATTCTTCCCAGTACTGACTATTATAGTATTGTGCAAAGCCCAAGTGCAAGGTCTCCATGGAGACTCAAGAAAACTCTGAGTTGTGATTCCCTCTAAAAACAAAAAAGAAAGGTAGATACCTGCCGGATACAATGGGGGGTATAATCACAGGATAAGCATCTCCTCCAACAGGGAGGCATAGGAAATAGATGGAAAGATCAAAAGACTAAGCATAGAGCTTTCCTATGACCCAGCAATTCCACTCCTGGGCACTTATCCATTAGACTACAGACAAGACCATACTAAAGCTACCAGCACAACCAGGTTCATTGCAGCATTGTTTACTAAATCCAAGATATAGGATCAACCCAGATGCTTCTCAGTGTGTGAATGGATCAAGAACATGTGGTAAATATGCATGTTGGAATTCTATGCTTCCATCAGAAACTATGATATTGCCCTATTAGAAGATGGACAGACTTGGAAAAAAGTATATTAAGTGAAATAAGCTAGACCCAAAGAAACAAAGGTTGCATGTTTTCCCTCATTCGTAGTAATTAAAATGTGCCTATAAATGTTTAAGTAAACACACTGGATACGAAAGACCAAAAAATATACTTAATCAGGACTCTAAACATTCTCCCAGTGGGACCAAAGGAGGATAGGATCACAAAGGCCCATGTGTATATCACAAAAGGTATGTGTATATGATCATGTAAAATGATGTTTATGAAATGAACTCCAAGAAGTGGAAATGAGGCTTTTTGTTATTTTACTTTTTTGTGCTTTTCTCCTTTTGTCGTGATTTTTGCCTTCTGTACTTGTTGTCTTGTAAGTAAATGTATCTATTCAAGGGAGGGTAAGGGAGTCACAGAAATGGGAGACAAAGGGGGTCAAATGCAGGAGTGATAATTACTAGACACTGCTGAAAAGGAACTATACACCTTGTGGAGGAGGGAGGTCAGGAGGGAAAGCAGAAAAAATGAGGGAAGAGGTGACACTTCTAAAAGAAGTGGAAGGAGCAAATTGTTTCTAAGTCAGAAGAGGAGGCCTCACCGAAGAAAAAGGTATCCCAAAGAAACAAAAAGTTATGGCACTGGAATAAGTTTAGCATAAAGTAAATGCAAATAATTGAACATTGCTTATCATTATTTTTTTTAAAAGAAATGTTCTCATTACCTGACTTTTGTAACTGTAACCCTGCTGTACATCATCTTTACAATAAAAAGAAAAAGGAAAAGAAAGTAAAAGGGATCAAGCCAAAATAAGACATAAAGTCAGTAGGGAAAAGATTGGGAGTAGATAGTGGGTTCTCCTATCTTGAATAGTCTAGCCCTAGGATTTTGCTGACTTTACTCACTCTCTTTGGCTGGTTCTGCCTATTGTCTGCAGATTCTCTAAGCAGACAGGTCAAGTTTCTGGCATCATGCTGTGGTCTCCTTTGTGGCTCTGCCTCCAAGCATTGTCCTATAAGGGGCTGCTTGCAGACACTCTGAGCCTGCTGCATGCCATTGGACCTTCCAGGCTTTTATGTGAAATCTGGGCGGAAGCCTCTGAGCGCCCCACAACTCTTTCACTGTGAATGTCTGCAGAGCCAGCATCCCGAGGACCGTGCTGTGTCTGCTGAGCCGTACTGTCATGGAGCTACACCTGGAACATTTGGACCATGGCTGCGGCAGCCTCTGACTGTCTTGCAGATAGACACCAGGAAACCCAAACACAGGATTCTGGAGGGAACAAATAGTGCAAAAGGTTTGATGCTGTCTTGGGTTCTAGTTTGTTTTCTCTTCCAATTAAAGAATTAAAGGGCAGGAAAGTGTTTAAAGCAGGAGGAGCAGGTGTTTTTTAAAACAAAACCAACAACTACAACAAAGGAGAAGTGAATGAAATGGCAAAATGAACTCCTTGTAAAAGGAAGGATCCTAGAATCCAGAGTGCCCAGTCTCTCTGGATGCTATTATATGTAGAGTCCTTTACCTCCTACGGTTTTAGGAAGGGCTTCTGGTCTGATTGGTCGAGGGGTGGACTTATGCTGCATGAGGCTCCTGATTGGTCCTTCTATCTCTCAAGCATCTTGCTGAGTTGCCCACCCTTCTGTGAAGGGCTCATGTGTGTGCTGAACCCCTCTCCCCCATATCTGTCTTGTTGAGTCATCTCCCTCATTTTTGTAGCCATGTTGATGATTTCTCTTGTACCCCATTGTTGGTCCTCCGTTTCTAAATTTTCCATTTCTATTAGCTGATTATCTGTGGACTAATAAAGCTGTCCCTTTAATAGTGTTCTCTGACTTTGGTAGCTTTAGTGACTATATGGATGGATCTTTGCAGTGCTGGACGTGATCTTGTCATGACGAGGTTGGAAGTGGTGGCTGG